ATTTTGAGGCACAAAAAGTGGTACTTAAATCACGGATGACCAAGGCCGTGAGTAAAGTACTTTACTCACGTATGGTTGCCCACAATTTCTTATTGCACAACGCTGTTGCATGGTCCTGTGGCGCAACGGATAACGCGTCTGACTACGGATCAGAAGATTCCAGGTTCGAATCCTGGCAGGATCGTAATTTATGGACCTTTTTAGTATATAAATCGTCCTTTAATATTTTATCATTAAGTAACTATGAGTTCGTTTATAATTTTCTTCTATTTCCATCGCTAAAGTGCCAGTTTTTTTATGGTTTTTTGACACAAAAAGTGGCACTTTAAACACGAATAGCCCAGGCCATGACTAAAGTACTTTAGTACTAGTAGTATTATTGAAGCCCACAAATTTTCGTTGTACAGGGTTGTTGCAAGGTCCTGTGGCGCAACGGATAACGCGTCTGACTACGGATCAGAAGATTCCAGGTTCGAATCCTGGCAGGATCGAGATTTATTGCATTTTTGTATATAAAATATATAAATCATCATCTTTTAATATTTCAATTAGAAATAGCTGCAGATTTATTAAAATCTAAATTAATCTAATTTTTATTTACAAAAATAAACTTTTTCATTCATTTCTGTATATTTGGTTGCATATCTTGTAACATAACCAAATATATCACTATTACTCCAAATCCTATTTAATATATTGATCTACACGAATTATACGCCATTTATAACGCATTGTCGTAGATTGTTTAACACTAGCAAAGATAGAATAAGCTTATAATCATTAGAAGATTAGAAAAAGCAGCGCCTAAAGTGTTTAGTCATCGCAATAATGAAAACGATGATTAACGACGCACATTAATCACGCACACTGAAATAAAACACTAGAACACGCCATAATATTAATTAACTATAAAGAACTAACAAAAAAAAAACGTTTATTAAAATTCACTTTTCATTGAAACTTTGATTTTAGTGTGTTTAATAGTTGCGCAACGCACTTGTTGATGTTTGTGCTCCTATCATCCGTTAAAAGGGATGTTTATTGTTGATATTCCAAGTTGGCAAGTTGGCAACTTGTATGTGGCTGTTTGTTGTGTGTTTAGCTTTGGTAGTTTGCAAGTTTGCTCACGCATTCGACCATGTCGGACAGTTTTCCGTTATACTTCCCTTTCATCACCCCTCATACTCGTATATGCGCTATAAATATGTCAATATTTACTTTGTCAATCTTCAACCTAATCAAATTTACATCTTTTACATTTCCAACAAATTTTTCTGCAATTTTTTCTTTTCTCGTTTGTTTTTTATGTAATTTTAACAAGGAAATTACAATGATTGACACTTTCGACATTCGAACCCTGCTGGGGGTGTGGAAATTGCTTCAGGGTGAATATCACCAACGTCAATATGACGTGTAAATTAACATGTTGACACACAGTGTATTTTCATCTCTGTGAGTTTATGCACGTTCGATTATATTATTATGTGCTGTATTTTATATGCGGAATGGGTATGCAACATGCATAACATCAACATGGCGTGCCTTTGATGAGGTGGCCCGATGCATCGTTTATTGTTTCGCAACAGTCCACAACACTTGTTGTGCTAGTTGGTGGTTCGGTGAGTCGAGCTAATGCAATAACGGCGTTAACCGTTACAATGTTAAACGAATTACTCGCCAGTAACCGCTGGCATCCACCCGGTGACGACAACCAACCAGTTAATGTTTTATTATATTTTAATGGTGGTAGAATGTGTTTCGTCAAGGTCATTTGACATTAATTAAATTTAATTTAATTTAACCTAATTTATGATCTGTTGAAGGTTATGAACTTTGAAAAGCACTGTGTGCTGCATATCTAACTGAAACTATTAAATATCTTCTGATATTATTCTGAATGCAGCTGTATAAACAATTGATTGAGTTTATATGAATAAAGCAACAAATGATAATAGTAAATCGATTCGCATCAAACTTCGATTTGATTACAATCAAAATGAAATAGAATTTATGTACAAAAGTTCTGCTACACTCATTCACAGCATTGACAGTTGTTGTGAGTGAGTGGAGTATTAATTAAAAATTAAAGCGCAACCCAAATATAAAAACAGAGCAAAATGAATATTTTATGCGGTAACGTGTTGATTGATCGAGTTTGGCTGTCTGAAATAAATTGAATATATATTATAATCAATTATTTATGTAGTAAACTTTGACATTTTTAGTGTTTCATCGTGTTTTTCGGGGGAAATTCGGGTGAAATTCGATTGGCAAAATGGTAATTTTGTCATAATAGAAGTGAACGCAATGAAAATATTTGCTATGATTTCCTGAATCGTCTTTTAATTATATATTTTTATCAAACACGTTTTTATTTAATGAATATAATTATCAAAAATTCAACACTTTAACTCATTCAACATTTGAGTGCAAGTATAATTACAATAGGTAAATTGATATTCATTAAAATAATTGATTGTTTTTTAGCTTTTACAATCAAAAACTAACGGTAAAATTATTTATAACGAACGAACTTTCATATAAGTTGTCTTTAATTTATTATTATTGTTAATATAATAAAACAAACATTTATAATGATTTATTTTAAAAATGTTGTAATTTATGTGAAAAGAAAATTTTGTATTAAAATATTATCTATTGAATCAAACTATGCTGTTAAGACATTCTCGAATAATGCACATAAAAACATACATATATTTATCAGAATCCTATCGAACTGTTGAGGAAGAAATAAGTAAATCAAATAAAAAAAAATATTTTAATTTATTAGATTTACGAGTTAATATTACGATTAGAATTAGATGCAAATAACTCTTCTATTGTTTTATGCCTTTTAACTTCACATACTATTATATCTCTAATTATATTATTAATTAATACATTCAAACATGTTCAATAGAACAATAATCATAATCATCTTTTGTCATAAATTGTGTTTGCGTCCACAATTGATAAATAATATTAATGAACTAAATGTTCAATATTCAAATTTACGTAGTCAGTTCATTAATTAATTACGTATCAATACGTGTATGATGACTCTAAACCAAAAAGAGACAAATGAAATGAACAGTTGAATAATTAAATGAACATTTATGCAATACTCTGCATTATTCCAGTCCAGTTTGATTAATTAATTATTCGAAAAATGTTATTGTTCGGAAAATAAACGCATTTAGTAAAAGAACAATATTTCTAAAATAGCCGTAGTTATTTACATTTTGTATATTTATTTGTTTGCAAATTTTTAAAACCAAATATCAATTATCAACAAACATTTATTAAACATTTTTATTAAAAAAAATTGAGAAACAAGAATTTCAACCACATTGCTTTGTAATATACCATTTTTCACTAGTTTTCTGTATTCATTAACTCATAGTTAACTCATTATTCATCCCTTAATAGAATGTGCAAAGTAACATGACGGTAATGCACAATAATGTGTATGGTTAAAAGGAAGCAACATTTTGTAATGTTTCTGCTGTAATAGGATAGAATGTAATAGGAAGGACTTGGGTGTTTTGTCAGGATGGCTGGTGAAAAACACCTGCAATATGCAAATTGTGATGTGATAAGTGCTGTCTGCGCCACGGGCACCAGCCAACGCCGTGACGGGGTGCAATCAGCCGCAGGTGGCGTTTAACATGCTTTCAACACGCTTCCATCATACTGCAATATGTATTTTTCGCATTTGCAATGTGTCATCAACACGGGTTCGAAACATTTTCTTTTTGCATGCAAATATTCATCATTTTGTCATATTTTCAATTTAATTTTGCTGATATTCAAGGTTAGTAATCTTATTTATTATCAAATATGCATATAAATTAAATTTGATTGTTACTGCTTTTAAAATTTATATTCTTTGAATTTTCGAATAAATACTGATTGTTTTCTGAACATTTCAAATAAGAAAAGAGTGTAATTATCTAAGCATTAAAAGATAATTGAGATTAAAGCGCATTAAGGGATGCCCCTTCGTTAAGAAGGTTTTCTCATTGTAGTTGCAATGCGTCTTAATGAACATGGTGTTCATTTTCATTATTTAAAATATTTATACTCTTCCTGGAAGAATTCACACTCAAAAATGATTTAATTTCTTAATTTTTCTTAAGAAAATCGGACTAAAAGTGTTTTTACTGCAAATAATTCTTGAAATACATATTTCTGCATCGTTTGCTTAAAACATTCATAATTTTCAAATTTATCCAAGATTTCCACGCATTTCCAGGCTTTCTAAGCCAGAAATTTTCAAAAATTGCCATTTTTACCGTTTATATTTTAAAATTTAAGAAAAGTAACACAATATAACATTTTTCTTCACAATTTTCCTTTTTAAAGCAACTTTTTAATATAAATATGAAATTAAAACATTCCAAATTGCATATTTAAAAAAAAATTCATTTTAATCAATTTTCTTTGTAAGGAAATTTAACATTTCCATGTTTTCAAAAATATTTTGATATTTTAGATTTGTAATTATCTTATTTTAATTTAAAAAATGTATAAAATTAAAATTTTATGCAAAAAACACTAAAATTAATTATACAACTAAATAAACTTGTAATTTTGTTGATATTAATTTAAAATATGCAAATTTCCATGTGTGAAACCACGTACTTGATAAAATATCAAGGGTTGTATAAAAAAATCAATCATAATACATAACACTCCCATAGCCGAGCAAGCAAATTAAGTGTTTAAAAATTCAGCCGGGCTCTCACCTAGAAATTCGGAACGAAAGCCTTGTACACGCTGACGAGAGTTTAAAAGAACAAATTAACATTAAATCGATATAAACATTGCCACGTTCAATTATTTTTATTTCGATCGCAATCAACAACGCAAAAATAAACAAAAACAAACGAATCATAACGAAAAAATAAAACACGCAATTATTAATTAATACACTACAGAGAAAACATTGTTGTTTGTTCTTTTGATGTGTAATATTTATTATATTTTTGTTTGCTTACCTCGAAATTCGACTTTGATGATTTTCTCCCCTTTGCACTTGGGCACATGTAACTGTTTTATTCGAATTGCCAACGACATTTTCGCGTCACTTTTCTATGATTTTAAGTTTAATGGAAAAAATTGTGAGATTATGTGGATGAAATAATTTCGGTGAAAATTTTTGGTAGCTTTTGGCGGAGGCGCCGTAATCCCGTCGATCGGCGAGCCCCGGCCGCGGAAAGCGAGCGCGCGACTTGTTGAACGATGCCCGTTCGGGTGCGCAACTGGCGTTCGGCGGCGGCGAGCGCACGATTTGAACCTAGGTTTTGGGGCAGCAGTGGCGTTGGAGGCGGCAATACCGAGGGCTGTATGACCCGCACCAGGTCGCGGGCGGGTGGGAAAACTGGGTGAAATTTTGTGCTGCAATGAGACACACCGCGACCTCTAGTGGTGTGCTTAGAAAGTAAAAGTGAAACATTAACAAAATTTGCAGAAAAGTAGAGTAAAGCTAAAAGATAGAACATCTATAGGTAATATTATTAATTCGGAAGCAGAAATGTGTACTTAAATATGAAATGATATTAGATTTCAATTTAGTTGTGACAAAATTGTCAATATTTACTTAAGTTTTGTTAAAATTATCAATTTTGTTCTTTTATTCTAGAAGTGATCGCCAGTGTGATTTATGCCACCGAAAGTACTGCATCATGTTCCGGAGGTAGCAGAAACCAGGTATGTATGCGGTTTATACTAATTTTTACTGCTATAGTCTTGTTTTTCTGCGTTTTACCCGACGTTTTATACTTGTCATGCTTTATTATTCAAAATGTATGATTCGGTATGCATTGGAATTGTCATAATCTCCCCTACTGTACCCACTTGTATATAACAGTAAATATTAATTTACAAGTGACAATTCCAACCCATTGCACAAGTTTTATCCTGTTTTGTTCCTTTTTTTCCTTTCTCGGAACAAAGAGAACATTTCGTACACTGAATAAATGTCAGCATAAATTTAAATATACGAAGGACACGCGCAGAACAAATAAGATAAATGTAGGGAAAGCTGGCAAGGGAAAAGCAAATGAATATTAAATGCAGAAAGGACGTAAAAATACAAAAATGGGTTATCTGTGAAGGATTAGGTAATGTTTCCAATGTTTTAGCATATTACACCCCCTTTAGATGCTATAGATAATTAGAAATTTTGAAATTTATACTCTTCTCATGTTTAAACACAATTAAACCCAGAATAATTTTCCAGCAATACAAATTTCATGTTAAAATAAAACTATTTAAGGTTAAGTACAACAATAGATTCATTTACTATCAAATAAACAAAATAAAACAACTTATAAATAACAAAAACAAAAAATCTATAGTTAAAACATTAAAATAATTGGTAATAAATATATTATCGTGGATACTTTGCCTAAAAGTGTTTGTAAAATATACAAAATATGCAATTTAATTGTTTTATAACTCGCCTACCTTAATACCCATGCAAATCTGTGCATAACATTGCAATATTTATATATTTATATCAAAATTTAATCACTTTTTCTTACTATCAACACAATTTATTAACTACATGCGTCCGCTTCGTTCCTTGGTGCTCTTTAGCAACCGATAAGCCGGGTAATACGCGCCTGTGTCTTCGTTCAGCAATTGAGGATTCTTTAGAGTGTTGTCGACGTTCCCCAAGGACGTGTATCCTTCGTCGTAGAGGCAACAATAGGGGACTTTGAAGCTTAGCAGATAATCCCAAACGTGCGCAAACTCCCAGTCCAACAGCGGGCTGACGCGCATGATTTCGGGCCAGCCGTTATCAGTCGCCTGCGAATTAATCACATTTGCATAAATTACACAAATATTAAATTTATAATGAATATATTTAAGCATATAATATAAATTAAATATGAAAGCGCGCGTGTTGATAATGATAAATGATAAAAACTGGAAGTGGCTCCTCTTTTTACTCGTTTACATATTGTATTACTAAATTAATCAATATTTTTGATGCATTTCTTAAGTAATTTAAAGTATAAAAAAGAATATAAAAGGAAAATATTTCAAAACACATCATATTGCATGTGATTAATCACTGTGTTTTGTAATAATGTAATAATCCCACATTGTTGATAATAATAAATCGTTGTAATCGCAATTATACTCAACGAAATCAAAACAAGTCGAAAATAAACACTAACAAATGCATAATCACGATAAACCTTAATGTTTTAACGTGTAATTCATGTAATTTGTTTATAACTCACTTGAAAATGACGCAGATTCGCCGAAAATGGATCACTGCGTCGCGTGCCCATCAAACAAGCCTTCAAGTTGGGTTTATCCTGGAGGATTGCAGCTAAACCGTCTTTAATACCCAGTGTCAAGGTGTGTACATCGAGATTATAGTACTTTTTTAATTTATCTATGAAGGCCGTCACTTGGGGGAAAGGTTTCTTTGATTGAACATACATGCAGAAAACAGGTCGATTGAAATTCGAGTAGTATGTTCTTAGTATTAACATCATCAGGTGTAGCAAGACCGTGCAATCTTTTCCGCCGTTAAAGCAAATAAACACGTTTTCGGGTTTATACAAATCGAAACACTCCTTTATGTACTGCAAATATTTAAAGAGAATATCATTAGTCACACTAAAAAAATATTTAATTATTGATAGTAAATCGACGCCATTTTGAATTTTTGACATAGATTTCCAACAAAACATGAATTTACTCACTTGAATTGCTTCTTGAATGAATATACAAGGTGAATTTAAGATTTCCTCTTCATATTCATCAAGAACAAAACTGTTCTCCACTTCGTAGCTATCCACAAAGTGTTGATGCAAAGCATTTATCTCTTCGATACTCCCTGAGGAAACAATCACTTCATTTTCTGTTAGTTTCTTACACCTGACACCATTTTCTCGAGATATTAACTTGTCAACAAACTCATTTGCTCTCTTATCACTTTTATTATAGTGAAACACTTTTGAATACACCGGTTTTCTTGTAAAACTGTTCAATTGTTTCAAAAGCTGAGTAAAATCCAAATCCACACAGTCAGATTCAATAAAATAAAACCTGTGTAGTTTCAAGATGTGATTCTGTTGCTCCGTGATGATCTGAAAGTACTTGTACTCACTGCTGTCAGAATCCTCATTAATTTCCCTGCTGGTTTCTTTACAGTCATCAGTCCAATGCTCATCGTAAACTTTAGCAACTGCAGTGAATAATTCCTCAGTAAGATTACCAATTGTTATCACTATGTCATGTAATTTTAAGAATTCGGTTAAGGTCGTTTCTAGGTCGGTGTCTTCTCGTAGGTGATGTATGTGCACTTTGTAGCTGATTTGTTGGATGTCTTGCAATAATTTGTTGAATCTCTGTTGATGGTTGCTAAGTGTTGTGTCATCTTGTTGAAGGTTCTGAAGGAAAATCACAGCAGCTGATGCGAACATTGTCGCGTTTGTTAGTAGAAAGTTGCGCACTCGATCAGCGGTTTCAAGTGAGTGCTGTTTCCATTTCGATGGGTTTGTGTTTTATTCAAGCCATTCAAGCACCCAGACGAACCAACGACCAGCTGACACGACATTTACGTGCAAAATTGCGAGCAATTCAATCAAGTTACGTGAGATTTTCAACGTACCTACTTCGTGTAAAACATCAAAACTTACTTATGTAATGCATTAATATAGATAGTAATGGTTTCCGGTGCTTTGATACTTAAAATGATTAACATCTACAGTATAATTAATATTTAGGGTCGTTAAAATCGGCAATTATCCTCTTGAAAAGTTCGAGAGTCTTCTTGAATTTTATTAGAAACACTCGGTTTATTACGGGAATTTTGTGGTACAGCTTGCGCCATCTGCGGAGAATTATTCTGAGTTGAAGCATGCACAGCATGTGCGATTTACATTCGTAACCTACAAGATATGTTATATTCTTTTAAAAGTTAAATTAATTAATTTAAAATGCCTGCGATATCTAAAAAGAATAACGTGCTTGTATATAAAGGCAGTAATAATCTGCGACAACGGCTTACGCTGTCAGTGTTGAGTGGTAAACCTGTACGAATTATTGAAATCCGAACGCTTTCTGATGAACCAGGGCTTAAAGAATATGAAGTCAGTTTGGTGAGGCTTCTGGATAAGTTAACAAATGGTACTAATATTGAACTGAATGAGACTGGTACAGTTCTTTATTTTCAACCTGGGTTGCTGCATGGAGGCAATATTGAACATGATTGCAATCAACAGAGAAGTATAGGTAAACATTCATGTTTACAAGTTTTATGTTTTTGTTTTGTTTATTTTATCATAAACATGATCTAGTCTGAAGATTATTTTTGCAGACATCAATTGTGTATTTCATATGAAGTGTGTTTTGTTATGGAAAAATTAGTAGATTAAATTGTAAGATAAAAATTTTAAAACTTGAAAAATGCAGTCTAAATTGTGTTTTTGATTTGTTTTGATAAGAACAATTGAGATTGTGTTGGTTTTGAAATAAGTTCTGTTTATTTAGTTGAGGAATTTATTTTAGTGTGTAATTTTGGAAAATTTATTATTGTAACTTGTTTTGATTTTGAGATATTATTAAGTTTATTGACTCATGGATCATGGATAATTTTAAAATTTGATTTATATTTAGACTGTTTACACCTCAAATTCCCTTTGAAATAATTATAATATTAATTTAGAAACGTGGTTTTTAAAGTATTTATACTCTTCCTTCTTTTGATTGTAAATTTTTGAATATTTCTCTTTAAAAATCAGTAAAAATAATGTTTTTAAGGATATTACTTGGAAATGTTGCTCATGCTTGGCCTATTCTGCAAAGTACCCCTAAATGCAACCCTCAGAGGAGTAACAGCCAATAATATCGACCCATCAGTCGATCATGTCAAGATGTCGATGATTTCCACTTTAAAAAAGTTTATTTTAGAGGATGAGGACTTGGATTTAAAGATTACTAAACGAGGTATGATTAAATACTCAATAAACACTTAATATTGTAATACAAAATCAAATTTATTAAATGATTTAAATCACATATTATCATTTTGGTTTTAAATTAGGTATGCCACCACTTGGAGGTGGTGAAGTAATCCTAAAATGTCCCATCAGAAAAGCTGTACGACCCCTGCAACTCCTAGAATCCGGTATGGTAAAACGTATAAGAGGAACCGCGTACGCATTAAGAATATCACCTGCTATTGCAAACCGAATGGTTGATACTGCAAAAGGTGTGCTGCTAAAATTTCTACCAGATGTTTACATTAATACAGATCAATGTAGAGGCAAAAATGCCGGTAAAAGTCCAGGATTTGGTATTAATTTATATGCGGAAACAACCGAAGGGATTTTTTATTCTGCTGAACAGGTAAAAACAATTAAGATTAAATTTTCAATTGAAAATATTGAATAGATCTGCAAATATGGCTTTTCTTTATTTTAAAGGTGAGCAAAACTGAATTAAACGGCGAAGACCCCTCAATTCCTGAAGATATTGGAACGGCTGCAGCCCATCGTTTACTGCAGGAAATTTATTTAGGCGGTTGTACAGATTCGTGTAGTCAAGCTTTAGCGCTGTTATCAATGGCGTTGGGTCAAAAAGATGTGTCGAAAATAATCTTAGGTCCTCTAACAGGGTACACGATAAATTTCCTGCAACATTTGCATGAATTCTTTGGGATTACATTTAAAATTGAGCCAGTGGAGCAGGACGATGATGAAATTGTGGCTGGTGCTAACAAAGTAAGTTTGACGTGCGTAGGAATTGGTTATACAAATCTTAGTAAAAGGACAATTTAGTGTCTTTACATTTAATTAAATTTATTTGACAAAAAACTAAAGTTTTATGATTTTATTTATATAAAAAGTGATTTTCTTTGATTTTTAAACAAAATTGTTTCAAAAGTATCTTAAAAGGGTTATAACATTGTTAGATGGTAACTTGATAATCAAAATGTGTTGGGACACTTTTATAACGTATGAAGTTATTTTTGGCAAATATTTTCATGAGTTTTTCATGTTTATTTGAAAATTCTCATCAAAAATTCATTTTTTGGTTTTATGATATTTTTCTACTGGTTATTACACATTATTCGATATTCATACCTAACCAATCTACTTCTTATCTCTAATCTAACCAATTCTAGTTCTTTTTACATTTTTCTAATATGGTTACAATTTTCTAAATTCCACAGTTATCTATCATAACTATGTGTTTTTGTCCGAAAATCATACTTGATATCACCTTCAATATGTTCAACAACAGGCTTAACATCATCATGCTGATGATGTATATGTGGAATACTATCAACATGTTGCAAATGATGAATATTATCACCAAGTTCATGATGTTGGTGTTCAATAGGAACAATATTCAAAGGCTTTTTCGGATGATACGTATAAACAGGTTCATTATGAAACTTTGTATCAGCAAAATGTGCGTAACTCATTGCAGGTCCCAGCTCAAAATTGTGGTTATGCAAAAACTTCTCCTTGTGACTTTCAATACCAAACAACCACGTCAACCAGTTATCATATTTCGGCTTCTTTTCCACTTCTCTCACGTAGAATTTCTCCTCGGATTGTATCAGATGCTCCAAAAAGTTTGGATTCAGTAGGAAATATTTATCAGACTGGCCGTATTTTACAAGTTGGTTGTCGATATGGTTTGGAGAAGTGTAGTAACTATGTCCAATATGGCCGCTTTGTGGCATTAAATCATGATCATGGTCAATATCAGCACCATTTTTCTCATAACTTGATGAATCTTGATGATCATTGTTTGACTTGCTGGAGAATTCATCATCTGTTCTCTTGGGGTAGATTAGTACCGGTGGGAACTTTTTATAGAAAACTAATTTCGTTGGTTTCCTATAACATACAATAATTTAATAAATTACTTTTATTTGATGTATGTTTGGTTGCCTAAACATCTAGAAAGTTACCTAGCATAAAATTCACCAAAAAATTAACTGTCGACATTGTGGTTTCAGTGGTTATGTTAACCTAACCTAAAAAATGTATCTGTGCCGTTACAATAGTGCCACACTTTACTATAATTTAAGCATGTAAGCTTTTTTCAAGTTTACTCAATATCTATCTAAGCGAGACAATAATTGAAATTTCATGACTTTGATTATTATTATGCTACATCCACTAACCGAGTAGTGTTTTGTTTACAACTTGTGGTTAAATTTTAAAACTAGTTCACAACCGGATTTTCGGACGCAGTACAAAATATAATAACCTCAAAGACTACATAAAGATGTTCATTTCTTTAAATGTAATTATTGCACATGTAATTTTAAATGCTTATTAAACAAAATGAAAGTGAAACAAAACGTGGAAACGTGCAAGTTTAATTTTATATGGTTCAACTCTTTTCGTGATTACGTACGATTATAATTTTCTTCTACGTTACATAACACGGTAAAAACAAAACAATTGCTATACAACAAAAGAAAATCGGTTTAAAGCATTAATAAAACGAGTTAAAATTACATGATTACTCATCATAACCTAACATTTCTACAAAATGAAGAACACCCACGTTGAAGCAGAGACAGCGAAACAAACAAAAGTTGTTTACTTTTCTAACCAACATGTAAGTACACATTTTTTGGCATTTCATTAATTCAACATTTTCACGGTGAAATGATCGCAAACACACTTCATGCATATCGAGATGCCGAGATAGAGCAATCGCAACGAAACGTAAACATAAACGTAAAAGCGAAAGTGAATCAAAACGCGTTAATGTAGATGTACGCCGGTCACCGGTGTTCTTTGTGCGCATGTTTACAAATTGCAGATCATGGTTCAATGGCACAACACTATACTCGTACTAATCTCATTTAATGAATTTATTAATTGCTATCTACCACACGCCGTGCATTATTTTTTAAAATATAAATTGTAGCGTGAGCAGTGAATGTGACATTTCACCGTGAGACAATGCAACTGAATTAAAAGTTAATTAGAAATTTTATGAAATTTGTGCAATGGTAACAGTCGCCATTTTGATCAACGCGCGTAGACGACACAATTCACAATCACTTTTACCAAGTTTGCACTTAATGTGGCTGTAAAACGCATAAAAACTGGAATATGTCGTGCATCCAAGCAACGATTTGTTGCACATTTGTGCCAAGTTTAACTGCTAATTACTTTAATTTATTATTTACATGAAATTTGCTGATTTTATTATTATTTTATTATTATTATAGTTTTTACCGTATTATCACTGTGATTGTAATTATATCGTTTCTAATTCTTTCCGAATCGGTCTGAATCGCACAAATTGAAGGATTTCGAGTTCAACGTTGCATTTTTTTGCAAATTTAATTTTAATTATTACTTCCGGGATTTATCAAGGCATGATGCCTTTCGGGTATGCGCGCTCATAATCGCGGGCGTTGCTATACATGTAGATACACTCACTGTCGATAGAAAGTGAAATTTTAATAAATAATTACTCTAAAGGTGTACAAAGCATAATAAATATATAAATATGTCAAAATAATTAATATTTTATGTGGTTTAAATGATTTAAATGCAAAAAAAGTGTTGTTTATTGTTTAGTTTTATGACAAAAAACGTTTTTCTGTTAATTGATAGTAAATTTACTTAAAAATTTAAGTTTTTATTTGCTTTATTTGTTTACAACACTTGGTATACAAGAAAGGAATAAAATAGTTTACTTTTTGCATTGGTATTGATTTATGTTAATGTATACATGCGGGCCAGTGATTCATTAGCCGCGAGTTTTATCTGCATAACTCAGAATTTATTTCTAGGTAATAAATCGAGTAGTGGTAGGTTATAATTGAGGTTAGACTCACCGATAATAGATTGTGCCAGGTCCAGGTTCACAATGTACAAGAATTACATTGGAAACTATAAAAATAGTCTAAAAATTGAAATAAAATTAAATAATGGACTAATATGAGTTTTATTTGTAAAACTAGAGCTTATATCACTTTTGCGTAAAAAGTTTTTAGTATTTTTTGCATTTTTTGCAAATTTTAATAAACAAAGCATATAAAAATGATTTACTCACCAATAAAAAGTAATCATGATAAATAAATGCTCGCATCTTTATTGCTTCACACCCAATAGTCACTTTTTTATTGCTGGTTAATTATTAATATTAATTGAATTAATTCTCACTTATTTATTCACAATGTGCTTCAATTTACATCCATTTATTTATCATTATAGCAGAAACATGTGTTCTTGTTTATTTGAGGTTAAGTCTTCAACGCTATTTAATCTTAATTTACTCTCAAGATGTCACTTGAATCCTAAACGTTTACGATTAAACAAGATGTGTTGTTTGTGGATAGATCTGTTGCGTGCGATGCGCGCTCATCGTGTGCGTGCCGGACGAAGCGCGCCGGCACTCATAACATCTTCAAATGAATAGAATAACAACTACACGCTTACAATTGCATTGCAATGCTTTGCTTTGCAATGATGCGCACGCTTTACAATTGTGGTGCACCGGAGTGCACGTGTGGTCTGTGACGAAGAGAGCCAGCGCGCGTAAATGCAGCATGAACAACAACAGCGTGCTACGAGTGCACACACAGATTATCGAAGAAAGCATGAAGTGCAACAGTCGTCTAATGAGAACAAAGTGAAAATGAAGAGGTTAGAAAAACATTTTGTTACATGGTCATGGTGGTAGACTAATGCGCAAATTTAGATCTTCAAATGATGAGCCAACAGGGACGGATTTGAGTTTGTTGATTTTATTATTAAAAGACAGTTACAGACATGTCGCTGCGTTTAATAAAAAGTAGTAAAATCGCTAAATATCTGTCTTTGATAAATAAAAATGTAGGATTTATTTAGTAGCGCCATCTATATATGAGCAGATTTTAATATTTAATGGGCGGAGCAAAAATTTAGTTTTTGGTCAATATTTAACTCAGTTTATAAGACAATTTAATTTTTTTAAATAATTATTACGTTTCTGTTGTTTTTTTCATTTCCTAACATAATTTTTACGACTTTGTTAGAAAAGTTCGTCGCGCTTCTTTGCACATCTTTACTCGTACTCGTACTTCCCTGCTGGCCGCTGCGCATTAGCGTTGATTTTATTACCTTTCTGTCATTTATGTATCTATCCATAGAAAAACTAACCTTTCTGATTTTTTCTACGCGTTTTACTTTCATCAAATGTTTCGCTTGTAGCTTTTGTAATCATCAATGAAATCATAGTTGAATGCGATTGCGAATGTGAATGACCACATGAATCAGTGTTGATCTTTTGATCTTTTGAGCAGAAAGATGGGAAGTAATAAGTAATAACATGATGATCAAACGCGAAATAAAAGAAGATATCACGCCGAGAGCGGTTAAAAGTAAAAAAATAAGGGGAAATTGGCCAGGAAATCCGGAATCGGAGCCGCGGATCAATTTGATGTAATTTACGTTTGCTTGTGTTGCGTTGAGTTACGTCTGCGAAAGCATTAGCAGGTGTATTCAGTCAGAAAGATATAATTTTAATTTTATGATAGTTGCGCATGTTACTATAACTCTATTTCTTGTTTCTTTTTTTTTAAATTTTTTTGTTTGTTGCTGTTGGAAGTATGCAACTTATTAAACATTATTTCTGAAGTAGCATTGATATAGGCATAAAAGAGTATTTTTTGATATGAACAAAGCAATGAGCACGGTTATTATTTTTTAAATCTGTCCTGTAAATTTACCTTTGAAAATATCTTTAAAACAATCAACATATTTTTATCCAAATTGTAAAAAACTACATTGTAGTTTGTAGTTTTTACACAAGTGCCAAATTTTTTAGGGTTGCAATAGACATCAAATCAATACAATCGAGTTCAATCATCCAGTTGATTTGCATTTCTTTATTTAAGTTTTATTCAATAAATATTTATAGCTTCTACTTATAGGAAGCAACTGAATCATCGTAATATTCCTGGACACTTTCTTTGCATTCTAAATCAAAATGCAACTTTAATTCTAATTAAATTTCAAATCAAATTTCGAGTTTTATTTTAAGCACGATTTTTAGTGTAATTAATTAATTATCTATCACATATTTAGCTACACTGTATTGACAACTGTAGAATAAATTATAAATTATAAATAAATTAGCATAAATTAATCTGGTTTAGAGATGAAATATTCTACCGTGTGGGCATTAGAACCACTGTAAAAAAATAATCTTGTATAATATAATTTTTTGCATTAAAGCGCCCGATCGCTAAAAATGCTTAGTTAAATTAATTTTCTATGCAAATTATGTGATATTTTCACATTTGCAAGATAAAAAACTGACTTAAAACTAAAGTAAGAGCACTAGTTGAAGTATTAGTAAAGTATGCCTAGTTGATATTAATAAGACGATGGAAGTGAGATGCAACTTTCGTTTGACTTTATTAGTCTGCTAAACTGTTTATTGGTGACGTTAAATGCGCTATAAAATAGGATAAGCGTTAAAAAATTGCATCGTTGCCATCTTTTACAGCTCATTAAAATTAATTTGGAGTTTTATAGGCATGTGATTTGTGAATTCTAAGTGTTTTTATGATAGTTTACTACTGCCTTTATAGTCAAAGTTAGAGACACCTATTTATATTTAATTAAAAACACCTTACAAATAAAATTGTAAATAAAGTTGTATATAAATTCAAGAGATAGGTATGTTAAGAGATACGAGGAAACAGACAAAGAATGTGAATCATGAAATTTTATGTATATTCTTGGTAATTTCTTACTAATTTCTTCTTTTTGTTTAAAGTTTATTATTTGTTACTATATTTATTATAGTTTATAGAATTTAAGCGCTCTGAAAACAAAACTTAAAACTTCTTCCAACTAAAAAACTGTTTGTTTTAGTTTTTTTCCAAATTTTTGAAGAGAGGCTAAAGTTTGATTTAGTTTCATGTTAATATATGAGTAACAATGCGATTGACAAAACTTTAATTCATTCTGGTAATCATCCATGTTCCCTCGCAACAAAAGTACTCGTACAACTACAAAACTCAACATTCTTGATACTTCTATTTATATGATACCTATACTTAATCGTTAATTACATTATAATTGTTGTATAGCTTAATCTCTTTAAATTTTTTACGTCTCCACGCAACAATACGAGTATACTGTTGATTTATAACTTTCATGATTGACGCGCGGAAGGAAGTTACATCGCGAATGCGCGCATTCTTTTCCTTCTTCCGATATTTATACCATTAATAAAAAAAACACCACGCTCAGCTCCCGTTCCCATCCACAAGTTCTCACTTCTCACTTCTCACTATTTCGCATTTCGTATTTCACGTTTGCGATTAGAAACTTTTTCACCTTCTATTATCAAATCGCGCTCCATTATAATTTATAATTTATAATAGTTATAATAGGTACGAAGTGCATTTAACGTTCGAGCGCGTTTTGATTTCGCCGGTGCGGATCGCGCCGTAATTGTATTAATTGATCGTTACGGTGTGTTAAGCGCGCGCTATTTCATTTTGAACAATTTCGGTACGGGTACGCGACGCAATGTCCGAAATTAGTTTAATAATCACGAATAATAATAGAAGTGATTGAATATAGAGTAAGCATATTGTATATTGGCAAGCGAAAGTTGTTTTCTTCCAAAAATCATATTATTACCTTATATTTTGGTGAATATATAGTTGCGACACTCTTATAAGATAGCAATAGTACCAAAGTATAAATTGATAACATTATCTTTGCCTATATACAATTATTAAGCTTGAAATTTTTAAGTTTTTAGTAATTTAGAAGTTTTTCGAAAATTGTATTTCAATTGTTTATAACTTTTGAACCTATAGCATGAATAACAAAGTTTAAACGTAATTAGATACAGAATATATATACAGAATATATATACAGAATATACAGAATACATAGTTTTTGAATAATTTATTAATAACATACTATAGACGTGGTTGACTTGCGAGAAAAACAGTTTTAGTTATTAATGAATATCTTTTAAACCAAACGACTTTTATTAGTTATTGTTTTAGAGATTTATTTATTACGAAATCCTCAATATGTGTATGTAAATATTTTATTGATAACATTATTTCAATGTTAATTAAAAGCAAATTAAAATCAATTATAAAAATATGTTGAAAATCAAAAAATTTAAATGTTGATAACTGGTTTTACAACAATCTAAACAAAACAATTTTTACTAGACGAGTTTTAGAATTTAATTTATAATATATTTTTCTTTACACAATAAATTTATCTCCAATAATTCTTTCAGAATTCATAAAAGAACAAAAAATATCAAAATATTTTTATTCTACCGCAACTATACTATTGGTTTATATAAAATTAACCTGAAGATAATGTTTATTCCACTTGTGTATTTGTAAAATTATAACGAAATGCATAATTATTATATTGGCTTTTTCACTCGAAATGCTCGAAGTTCATGTTCACGTTCGTGAATGTCGGCGCTCGCCAGCACTCTCCAAACTCTGCTGGCGGTCGTCGTTCTTATACTGACACTCGATCATATTTGTTTTTGCGCATTGCTTATTACGAGCAAGTGTCTTGAGAGGCTGTGTGCTGTGTGCGAGAATGAGATTGCACATTGCAAGAAATCGGTGAAGGTAGATTTAACGAACGGCACGTAGCAATAAATAATACAAATCAAAGACACAAATATAAATGATTTGGTTTTATGGTGGATGGATGTAATGATAATAATCGAAAAAACAACAAAGGAAGGGAAAAAATTGAATTGTAGACAATTCAGTGGATAAAATAAGCAGTGGAGATAAAAATGTTTAGTTTATTGCTTAGGAGATGTAGAAAAAAGTGTAATCAAGCCAAATTTCATGTAATTTTATGAAAATTTTTGTAAAAAAGAGGAAAAGTTGGATTAGACGACAAAATTCACAAAAAAATAAAATTACGAAAAACAAGAAAACAAACATTGAATTATGAACAATCCAGTTGATAAAATAAGCAATTAAGATAAAAATTCTGAATCGAACGAAATTTTATGATTATTTTCTATTTATTTAGTAAGAAAATCGGAAAAGTTAGGTTAAATGGCGGAATTCAGTAAAAAAAAATTAAATTTGGAAATATCAACAAAGAAAGTAGAAAAAAATGCATTGTTCACAATCAATTTGATAAAATGATTAATAAATGTAAAAATCTTTACCTTATTGCCTAGGAGGTATAATAAAAAGAGTAATGATTCGCAATTTCACGAAATTTCAAGAAAAATGTTTAGTTTTTTAGTAAAAAAGCAAAAAGGTTAGGTTGTCAATGAATTGTAAGGTTAAAAATATTTTTTTATAAACGAAAAATATACAATAAATTTCCCACTATTGTTGTGCACAACAACATGACAAATTCCTAAGAATAATCCATTAAACCGAAAAATCCCTGCAGAACAGAAAAAACTTCATAATAAAACAATTGACTTCAATTGAAAAGGCAACGAGATGAAAGAAAAGAAAGCATTTCCAAACAATTGCATTTAATTTACTACGCCTAACTATATCAGGTGTGTACCATTTTTTCTTCCGTATGACATGTGTGCCTTGAGGGCTCCTCGTCGACTTTCATGCGGAATTTTCGATAATCACAAACACAAACATCCACACCGCGATACATTTACGCTGAACACGAATGCACCTCTTCTACAATAATATTCTATTATAGCGAATGTGCGTGGTTCGCTGGCGATAGTTTCCCTTTCATTTCGGCGCACGCCAACCGCCTATAAATAACGCGTCTGTGGTTATCCCGACATCATTCACAGTTCGACACTCGTGCCGGACACAAGTCAGCTTCCTTCCTCCCGTGTGGATTACTAACTAAGCCAGGATGTTCGTTCGAGTAGCTGTAAGTTTTTTTTTAGTTTTAATCATAAAATCATCAAAAAATGGTTTTAAAGTGAGGTTATGTTGTTTTTTAATTACCATAGCTAGCCGCAGTGTGTCTGCTGTACGTCGTGCAAATGGCGGTTGCCGGTGGAGGCGGTAAACACCATAAAAAGGTGATAATCCACGTCCCGGTGAAGATCCACAAGATCCATCACACGCATACTGTCTACAAGCACGTCGGCGGCAAGAAAGGCGGCGACGATCATGAGTACTACAAAGTGATCGGCTACAGCGGCGGAATCGACCACGGCAAGGTGTTGCACGCCAGCGGAGGTCACGAAGGTGGCGGTGGTGGTCACGAATCCGGGCATGAATCCGGCGGGCATGAAAGTCATGATTTCGGACACAGTTTCGGCGGTGGTTTCGGCGGTGGTCACGCTGAAGGCGGGCATGAATCTGGTCATGGACACGAAGCCATCGCAAAGGAATCTCATGATGATGGCGGGCATAACTTCGGTGGGCATGATTTTGGTCATGCATTCAGCGGTGGTCATCATGCAAGCGAATTGAGCAGTCATTCTGAACACAGCAGTTATTCATCAGGAAGTTATGGCGGACATGATGATGGACATGCCAGTCACGAGGCGTATTCTGGTGGTTATAGCGGTGGTTATGGCGGTGGTGATGCAAGTGAAGGTGGCAGCCATGATGATGGTGGTCATTCATCGTATGGTGAGCATGGTGCTGCCAGTCAAGGGTTGTCCAGTTACGCATCCGACGGTTATGCCGGATTTGGTGGCGACACCCACGGCAGTTACGAGAGTTCAGACCATTCTGAACATGGCGATCATTCGGGAGGGTATTAATGCATCGCCACTTCTGATTTTTTTATCGAATCAAAGAACTTGCTAGTCCTCGCTTTTAATACCTGCTGCAGATGAGAGTATCTCGAACATTCTCGAACATCATTCCAGTATCATTCATCAACTCGTTGAGTTCTAATGTTTTTGTTTTTAGATTTTTTCCAGTTGCTTGAAAAGCTGTGTATGTTTCGATTCGCTGCGGATCGAAATTTGTTGAGTAGTTGATAGAAATGTTTATATTTATAACTTGTTGAATTCGTTTTTTAATGTTGTTGTTTTATGATGTTATTTTATACGATAGAATATTAAATAAAGAAAAAACTAAACTAATACTCACAATGTGTTGATGGTAGTTTGTAAAATAAGAAAAAAATAGGAAAAACCGATAAATTCGGAAGTGAAAAAAGTTGGATGAAAGTAAAAGTAAATTATTTCTTGGATAAAAGTGTGTTGACCTGACAGGAGCGGTGTTGTTGAACTAAGAGATGTGCAAAAAAGTAACTAGTTTTGCACGGTATCATAAACCAACCGAGCGTGAATCTAAGCGAATAAAACGAAACATTTAATTGAAAATATTCTGAACACGTTTGTAGTTAGACATAGAACACGTGCATATTTGGTTGCCTATCGTAAAACAAAGAATTAAATTAATTTTTTACTATTTGAGACCATTAAACACAACTTAAATCAATTTTAGCATTTATTTTAATAAAACATAAATAAATAGTATTATTACTTAAGTATTTAGCAGAATCGTTGCTTTTTGCAACAATAAAATAACAAATTTAACCTCAAATATTACCAACGTTAATTGTGCCAAACACAAAACATAATATTTGTCACTGAGCATGAGCTTAACTCTTATTATAATCATTTAGTTTACAATAAACAATTTCTTTAATTAATTGATGTTATTCTTTGACAATGACGCGCGAAGCAAACTTAATATCTACAATTTGTACACAAAAGTAACTTTCTTTGCCCATTCGCATGAAAATTACAGCGCTTTGAATAATTTCGTAGAAAATTTAATTTATGAGACACTCACACACCAGTCGTGATCAATAAAATTAAGCGTCCAATTAGTCCGCGTTTATTCTCGCATTTATTTTAATTTCTTTGTGCGCCGGCGCGCGCGCATTTGAAAGTGCGAACAGCAAACAAATTATGCGTAATTAAATTCGCTTGTTTTGTGTGATTATTGCATGCAATAATCATATAGTACTGGTAGTTTAAAGTTAAAAACTTAAGTTGGGTTAATGCCTATTCGCCATTTTGAGGATATGCAAGCAAACATAAACACCTTTTGTGCATTTCTCGGTTGTTAGTCACAGCGATTAATCCGAACAATTACGATTTAATTGATTATTATCAATACAAGGCGCAAACACCTGCGGAATACATTGAACCTGAACGCAAACTTTCAATTCAAGTTCTTGGCCATTGATTTATGCATAAAACATCCAAAAATGAAATTAAAATGGTTTTTTTGTTGTGATTGAGCAAAATTACACACTTTAATCCTACTGTAACTAGCAATTGATGTGGTTAAAAGTACTTAACCGGTGAAAGTTTTCACTAAACACAGTTTTTTAAGGTTATATTTTATATTCATACATTCGGAGCTATAAATGTAATAAATTTATTATAAAAATATATTTACATGTTCATACAACGAAGTAACAAGATTTTTCTTATATGTTAGGTAATAATTAACTCTCAAATCAAAAAATGATCGCATTTTCTCTTTTTGAGAGGTTTAAGTTATAGGTTAAAGCTGGCGTCTTCTACAAGTGATGCGAAATGCAGTTGCATCGTCCAACCATAAGGCCACTCGATGTTTTAGGAGGGTGCAAGCGGTTTTTTTGTTTGATTTAATCGCAAACTGAATTAAAATCAGTGATGATGACCGTGGTGATCATGATGATGGTGCTCATGATGCTCGTGATGATCGTGGTGATCATGGTGGCCGTGTCCGTGATCCTCCTTCTTGTGATCTTTGTGGTGGATGATTTTGTAGATTGTGTGCGTGTGTTTTATCGTCTTGATGTGGTGTGGAACGTGGATGATTACTTTATGATGTCTAAAACATACAATATTAAATTAATCAAATATATAAGTAATATGCAAGTGTAACATGTTATTTGGGTTGCCTATACTTGTAATCACAACTAAATTTGGCAACGTCGCATAATTTTCATAACCGTTGTAACGACAGTTATTCTGCTGTTAGTAGTGATGCTGCATAAACTAATAAGTGTGTGTTTTGAGTGAAACTTACTTCTTTCCTCCTGCTTCCGCATTAAATACCACAACACTGAGGATAACCAGGGCAACAATCAACTGAAATCAGACAGAATCACACGTATAAATATTTTTGGTTATATTTATGTGTTGTTTTGAGTTGTTTTGTTTTAATTGTTTGTATTTACCAAAGTTTTCGACTGCATTATGCGTGATTTGTAGAAACGGTGGCAGGTAGACAAAAGTCTCTTTGGCAAGCTGAGCTTGTTGTGTGTCTACCACGGTCGCGCATTTCGTTTATATAGCGATTTGCAGAAAAGCGCCGAATTGGTCGCCACACCACTTTCGTTTGTTTCGAGCGTTTTAACAACCAGCATGTGCATGCGCTGCTACTACCACCGCACATCGCTGCTCTTACTCCGTATGCGGCAGAAAGAAATTGAAATCGAGTGAAATTTTCTTTGAGCTATTACAACACGTGCGAGATATTGCGATGGCTTTTGTGCGATTGTTTCTCGCTAACAAGACTTCAAACTAGTTATATTGATAGACTTCAAACGTAATTCTTAAATGTTGAGATTTATATTTTTAGAAAACCTTTTAGGGTTATTTTGCGTGGAAGATTTTAGGGTTATACCTAGTGTGATTTGGGTTGCATATCTGTTTAATCCCAGTAGTAAAATTTGACAACGTGGCCTGATTTTCTAAAATTATGCAAATATTCAGGTTAATCTTTCATAACTTATTGAATTCTATTCAAAGAATCACCTACTGTGAGCTTACGATGCACAAAATTGCAACAACTTATTCAATTCGCTTCAATACGAAAAATTTCGAAATGAAATCACATTGTGTAATGCGTAATATTGAGCAAAACCTAAAAGTTAAATCATTAATAATATCGGCAGTAATGATAATTACAGCTGTTTGCAAATGTTGATTTGATTTCACTGCTTGCAACCTGCATTACAATTCCATTACAATTTCTTCACGGCGGCGCACAAAACAAGCAACAAAACCTGCGAGATAAAAGCGGATGTGGTGAATTATATTTATTTCTAGTTTACATTCAATGCATAATATTAATGACAGATTTATATGTATATGTATATACTGCGTATTTGAATCAAATCCAACTTTAAAGTAAACTGCATTTCCAAGAAGTTGTCGTTGTGAATGGACAAATTGATATTCCAATTCAGCCGGTGCTGTGGTTGACTGAAGTAAATTGAAACAAATTGTTTCCGATAATTTAAAGTGCAGCACAAATGCACACACACACACAGTGATATGAATTATGAGTTTCTTTTCCGGTTTGGTGATTGCGCTATTGCGCATTTCCACATTACGTCTTCATCTGCATCATATACGTAAATGAAAGTAATTTTATATTCTAGAAACCAATACTTTAGTTGTTTTTATGTACATTAATTATTAGTTTTGCATTTTTTAATTTACACTTTGGTGTGTGTTGTTAATTAATAAGTGTTGATTGTTTGGCGAAGTAGGTAAAAAGAAATGTTTGTTACTTTTGTTTTGTGAAGCAGAATAATTAGTAATGCAGTCGTTAAAACATTTGAAAACTAAAGAACAACTAAATTAAATAGTTATTAATCGTTCGTGGCAATTGTTTTCGTGTTTTTCTGTTTGTTACTTACGTAATTCTGCGGCAAGAGAGCGTAAAATTTGAGTTAATATTCATTAGAATAGTTTCATTTATTTTATTTGCCACAATTCGACATTTACATGGTGTCGGTAAAGTAGGGAGCATTTGATATCATTCACAAAAGTTAAATTTTGAGGTTACATTAATACACTTATATTATGTCGTGCAGTTGGGTTTAATATCCGCATAGAATTAGAGGTTTTTTATTGTAAAAATCAATAAATCACTCTTGCATCAATCATTGCTTAAGATTTTTGACAGGTAAGACTTCATTAATCTAGTTTTAAGAGGGTACTTATGTATTAATGTTGATTATACTCGTAAATGAAGTTGTAAATGGGAGTGAATTGAAAGTAACAGATTGTGAACTTTCGTACAAAAGTCGAAACCGCAGAGACAAATATTTAGACATCAATTTTCGGCTTCACTTCTTCAACACTTCCACATTCAATTCGTCTTCGAGTTGAATTCTCGTACTCACTGTTGTTACTCGACGTTTATATAAATGGTTCTTTAATTCGTTTTGAATCTCAATGCTTTCTTTGCTTTCCGTTTCAATTATTTCTACATTTGTCTATCTACTGTAAAATAATTGTTGACGGTTGAGGAATGCGTTCGGAACAGAAAAAGATGCATTTGTTTTGGTTGTTTTAAGGTAAATTTCAGTGTCAAACCACAATTATTTTATAACCTAAAAAAATACAAACAAAGTCTTAAATGCGTCTTAAATGCGTATTGGCCTAGATGTTTTTATAAGTTAACCTATAAAACAAAAGACCAAGATTAAATTTGTATTTATCGTTGATATATTTGCGGAGTTTAAGAGTGTTTAACTCTAGTTTTTATAATTATTCGGAAGTTATTATTACCGGATGGTAAATTGCATCTTCCTTACATTAAATTAACACGCAATTTATTATTAAATCGATTGTTGTAATATAAATCATGAAGGAATGAAAAAATTGTTAGCATGTGTTCAGAATATAACAAAGTGAGTCATAATGAATAATAATGAAAGTTTACACTTGCACGAGTATAAATTAGACATGCATAGTTTTTATTTGTTTATAAATATAAACTATACATAAATTCATATATAATTTGCGTAAATGTTATATAAACTCACTTTTTTATAAATTTTGATCAATGTTTTAAGTTATATAAAAGCTTCAATGAAAATATTAGGAATTTGATCAATTACGCCATCTATATTCAAAAAGTTAAAGATTATATATTGAATTCCTCTATTCTTTGACTTGCGGTACAACATATAACATTTCAACATCGTTGAGATTATATTTGATGACTACATTTCATACTACCTTTTGCTCGCATTTACATCCCCGTAGTTTTTGGTAAAAATGTAACTAATTTTTAGTTTCTTGTTTGATTCGGATTTGAGACTAGTTCAACAAATCATAAATAAATAAAATCTGCCCAGCCTATTCTTAGTTATTAATACTGAAACTAACGCAACTTTGAGAAACATACGAGTACAAAATTTGAAATTATTTGTCTGAATTAAAAATACGTGATTAATTTATAGTATTATTTTATTTAAGGATAACTTTTAATTGGGTGATACAGTCTATTATTCCATCGTGACATTAATTATTTACTATTAAATGATATAAACTAAATTGCAACATTGTTCCGTTTCTTCCTGCACTACAATAATAAATAAGTTATTAAATATTTACAGTTTGCAATAATTAAATAAAACAACTATAATTATGAGTCGCTAATACTCGTCCGCCGCTCTTTCTCTTTTGTTAAAAATTATTAAAACGTATAATTAGCAGTCTTTCGTCAAGTCTTTACATTACAATTAATAATCATCAGTCTTTCAATTAGTGTATATGTGTCTATGGAGGTATAATAGAGTGCACAACTTCCTATAATTTCTACAATTAAATAATTGTTTTTTTTTCTTGTTTAAAATACAATGTCACCAGAGTTTCTACGGATTCTGCTTTTGTTGAATTTGTTGCTGGATCTGTTGCAATTGCTGCTGTTGGAGTTGTTGCATTTGTTGTTGTGGCTGTTGCGCCTGCTGCTGTTGTGAGGAAGGAAACGCAGCATTTTCAATGGGTTCCATATCTTGCGATACTGGACATAAACAGGGCACAAGTTGCACGTTGTGTATTCCTGGCGCAGGGGAGAATTGTGCTTGTAGGGGGACTTGAATTGGTATGGAGGGAATCGGTTGTAGTGGTTGCATTGGTACTCCGTTGTTGTCAACATACTGCGGTTGGTGTTGCACCACGCGCTGGTAATATGCAAGGGTTGGTGGGTAGGGCTGAGGTAGTTGTGTTTGTTGTTGTTGTGGAGGCGGATGTTGCGATTTAACCCTGAAAAGTAAATGTTTTATATTATTTTCGGTTTTATTTTATTGAGAATAGGCAACCCATTATACAACTAGTTGAAGCGCATGCGTGTTTAACTGTTTAATTGGGTTATCTTACTATTTTTAAGTTATTTATTACTTATTTCAATATATTTAGAAGATATTAATATCGAAAATTTTGGTTAGTTACAACATTTATAACTTTAGAACGGTTGGACAGATTTTTTTGTTTTATGACTTGTTGGATTCGTCTCCGCTCTAAATACCGGAATCAATATTAAATTATCAAAAAATATAATTTAAATAGTGTTAAATGAATGATGAAAATTGGTATAGAGATTCAATCATAATTTTAGATAAATAATTGAATCTGAGATGGCGCTAAACTGCATTATTAGCATTTCTAATTTTCTTTAAAATAAATAAGAAAGCATAAACTTAATTAAATTTTTACTGAAAACTACAGTGAAGAACTTACATGCAAAAGCTAGTTTATCATAATTGCCATTTGCCTTTTACTTTTCGGTTGCAAAAAGTAATAACTGTTAAGTTATTAAAAATAAAGAAACAGTTATTTGTTTAAAATAGTAAAATACTTACGGTTGTGGCGATCCCCAACTTAGAAAGAACGCTGATGTAGATGTCGCGCATGCTACCACCAAAACTATTGCCTGAAATTTAGTTATGCACAAAGTATAAATAAAATTTTTAATTTAATTTTAATTTTTCATCGCAAATTATTTACTTTAAGTAAAAATACTTACGCATAATTCAATTTTAATCGACATTGTGGTATATTTCTATAAATTCACACTTTTAAAAAATTAACCCTTTACACTTTTTCTCTATTAAATTCAAATTTGAATGTTGTCTACGAAGACTAAAACTTAAAACATCGAATGCCGATGCCAACGCATCGAAAACCGTTTTTATATGGTTTTTTTTCCTCGCGCGTTCCACCACTCTGCGCCCGACGCTGGCCATTGGCCCTTTTCGAAGATCCCTCGCATCCCCATCATACCAGTTACCAGTTTTCTACGCGGTAATAATCAAGCGGAGTTAACTGTAACTGTACTTTTTTATTTCCAAACTTTTTCTTGTCTTGTCCCATCCACTGCCTTACTAACGAACTGCGTCCAGTGACCAGTGAGTCAGTGGTGCGCGGTAATCCACTTTATTCCTAGACAAATGAATCCCAAGCGTTCCGGTAATCGAAAACGAGATGAATGAATCGCCGAACAAAAGCCGGGCGCAATTAGAACCTGCGCTTGTAATTAAAAAGTAAAAACTCGACGTTAATTAATCATCCGCATGTTATCGACTCTGTCAAATTTCATCGCGCTGATGATGTGGTGACGATGTTTCATTAAGTAACATGTCTTACGCGTGATTTATTTTGTTGCGATAGGAAATCTTGTTACACTTGGTTTATTGTGTGTTGAGTTGTCAACAAGTCAAACCTGAAACAATCTTCACTTCTTGCATGCCGTGCGTGATTATGCTGAATCACCGCTGATGAATTTAAATGTTTACATAAGCTTGTATCATCACCAAACACGCAGGGCAATCGAAAATTAAAATTACTCGACATATTTTGTACAGTTATACAGATATTGAACATACAGATGCAGGCAACCCATTATACACCTTCAGAAAACTAACGTCAAACTGCAAACACTGTTTTTGTCATTCACAAGTGAAAACAAGCAAAAATTACAACAAATTGTTATAAAAATACAAAATTTCATTGTTAAGGTTGTGAGTAACATTGTTTTTAATCTATTTATCAACTTTATGTTACAGGCACTTGTAATTCAACCGAATTCAAATTCAAATTCGGTCTGGTTACTACAATAATGCGTGAAATGATCAAGATGGAGATCGATAACGGTGATAACATTGGCATCGGCGCTTTGAAGAGTTTTTCGAGACGTTAGACGAACCGTGGAATATTTCAATCGGTCAGCGTGCTAGCAGGTCAGCGGACGAGATAAAATGCAAGGTACGATGCACATGATTTACATAATTACTAGGAGTGCGCCAGGCGATGCGCTGAGTAATTTCCAACTCTTGAGCTTGAGGTTTTCGATCGGCGTGTAATAACGCGCAGCATAACGTACTTCACGTGAAATCGAACGCTCTTAGACAGAAATCGAGCGTAATTATGCTAAAGTACCCTTAATTCGGGCGCAAGCTTTATAATCATGTACAGTCAAAGCCGATATTGAAAATTATTCAAGAAATTAGACAATGAGAACGTTTTTAGTACAAAATAATTATATTTTTGAGTAGGTTGAGTAGGATAGGAATATAGGTTAGTTTTGCATGATTGTCAGCCATTTTTAAAAAGTGTTTTTATGTTAAAATTGAAGTTATTCCAAGATTTCGGCCCTTTAAATGCCTTGAGGGTATACTGACCCTTTCCTAGTCCAAGTTTTTTTTTACTTGATTTTTTCGAGTGTTCCACTTGTCCGTTAGACGCAGCGCGCCGCATGAAAATTACTTCCCAATCCTATTATCATTCCATTCCATCGGCGCGGTTCCGCATTTGTACCTTCGGAGGCGCGCATCTTTGGCCCTTCTCACGTCTGCGACGCTGGTGCTTCGTGTACGTCGAACTACTTTTTTCTCGCAGCTAGTTATCTGAATGAACATTAAAATATATACGTGGTGGCTTGGCGGCGACAGCGGGCAATAAAACGCATCCACTCTGAAAGGAATTAAAAATAAACGAATACGCAGAGTTGCGTGAAGAGGACGAAGTAAAATAAAATAAAACACACTCTATGCGTGCGTTTCGTGCCCGAACTAGTTTCATAGATTCATTGGTTGGTTTTGTTTTGTTTTCGAATGTAAATAGGAATAACTAGAACGTGGCAGCTAAAGAAGTGAGGAATTTCGGCCATCGTGACCAATTCTTGAAACTTACACTTTGTATTTAAATCCAGATCAGTGTGTGGTAATCAATAACACAAGTTGTTTCCTTCTCAGAATAATTTAACAAGATTATTTCTAAGAAAACTCAGAAGAAAATATAAATTTACAAACAATTATTTATGTTTATTTGCTACAAAACTCACAATATAACTTAAAAGCTAGTTTTTCCTTCTTCGGCGTTTATTGATTGACTAAGACACTCGAGCATCAATCGTAATTGAATCGCCGCCCGCCGTCGAAGCGAAAGCCGTACGCGGCGGCGTTCTTGGCATCCACCAGCGCCGGATTGCGATGCTTGTAGAAGCTGCCGTGTGAGTGCGCCGCCCGCGACGAGCCGGTGCCCTCGCCGCGCGGATAGAACGCCTCGAAGGTACCCTCCGGCGGCAGCACGTCGCCGACGCCCTTATCGTTCGGATCGTAAGCGCACACGGCCACAAACACCATCCACAACGCCATGAAAAACGCGATTTTCATCGTAAACTAACTCGTTTCTGTAAAACTAGAAGTCTTATGCGTAATTTGAATGCAAGTCTGCGTCTGAGTCTGGTGTCGACGGTCGACTAAACGCGTCGCGAAACGCGAACACTTTCTCTTGGCACACGCCGCACGCGCCGAGAAGGTTAACAACTTAAATTTACTTTATACAAGGTGCAGCACACTTTGCTAATCATCCGCGTCGATTTCGACACTTTTCTTCTTCTTGCCACCCTTGGTACCCACAAATAACCCTTTACTACGACTGATCTTTTTCTTCTTCAACTCCTTTTTCTTTTCGTTGTGTTTGATTTTCTTCTTTGCGTATAACTCGGGGTCTGTGACTGCTAGTTGCGTGCGATTTCGCTTTCTTTCCGCGCGTCTTATTGTCAACTGACCTTCGATAGTTGCCAATAGCCTTGTATATTCATCTTTACCAATTTTACTTTTGACTATCGCTGATACTTCTTGACTTAATTGTATTAATTCTTCAGTGCTTTTTTCTTTAGTGACTATTTCACGCACTAAAGGCGCTAATAGATGATGTATAATCGGGCGTAGGATATTAATATCGATGACTGTCAACAGCGCGGCGATAAATTTGAATAATTCCGTCCTGAGTGCAGTCGAAGTCGTATTCTCAACAACTTCCATGTTAATAATGCGTCGGACTCGTTTGACCAGCCACAATAAATTGACGCGCTTGGTAACATCAGCGTCGTCTTCATTCTCCAGCTCTTGGTCGTCCTCTTGTGTTTGCTTCTTATTTATGGGCACGTTCTGTAGCACCCGCGCGATGACGATTAGATTCTTGATTACCTGTTCGGCTAAATCTGTTTTTGTGCAGCCAGGAACCAACTGCGCGCTCAAATCCAAAGTGAGGGATTTTATCGAATCGTTTGGATTCGTATATAGGTAACCCTCATCTTCTTTGTTGTTTAGTAATAATTTCGATAGTTTAGGAATGTCAATTGCAGCAAGCACGTATCCTAGGAATTGCGCGGCTCCAAGTCGTACCCAGTCGTGGTCATGTGAAAGTAATCCTTGGGCGCGTACTGCTAAATTCTCTACGTCGTTGGTTTGTTTTAAAACGTTTGGTACTTGCGCGCATAGTTTTTGTAGCATCTGCAGCACTTGATAAAGATGATGGTCTTTATTTCGCTCCTTGATGTATCCCTCTTCTTCTTCGATTTGTGCGCGTACAAACTTGCCAGGTTCGTCTTCGTTATTCCTAGCGAATTGTTTGAGTACTTCTGGTATGAGTTTCGGTATGCGTGATTCAAAGTTTACTTTTTCTACGTTGATAAGTAAACCGCACATTTGGGCAGCGAGCATTTTGTGTTGGACTTTTCTGTCTTTAAACCATAGAATCAACATGTCGAAAAGTGGATCGCGATCGGGTTTTTCTAGGCGTTGTAATAGTGTTGTTATGCACTTGGCGGCCATTTTGCGGCATTCCGGCACGTCATCGTTGACCAAACGTGTACCAATTGATACGAAGAAAGTTCCGCTGAAGTTCTTTAGAATTTTCTGGAAGTAAATATCATACATTAATAAACAATACAAAAATATAATTTTCTATAATAACTTACAATTGGAAATGAATTAATTAAAATCAGCACCATATCCAGCGCTGATTCGCGTCCAGTTTGCAACTCGTAACTCATCTGCCCCAAATAGAAGCTCACGTATCTTTCTAATTTCTTCCCCAAAGGATAATCCATAATATAATGATGATAAACAATGCGGCATTGTTGGCGAACATGCGGCAGATCTGAAGTTATACTCAGCTCGGCTACTTTCATGATGATTTCCGGTAGCTCAGGCACAATTAACTTGCGCGCTATAATCGCTTTCAGAAGGCCGAAAGCTGTTGCTTGACGTTCGTGATTGTACAAATCTTGCTCGACGTATAACAGCAGAACTTTTAATTGCTCTGTTTGTATCACATGGTATTTTACATCCCTTACTAACACAGCCATTGTCTATAATCAACAAAACATTAAAAACATTAAAATCAAATATGAAAATGTAAAAATTAAAATTTACCTTGAAAGAAGCCATAACTAAATCAAAGTTGTCGCCCTTCTTGAGTCCTGCAGAAGCATATTTGTGTAAAATGGCAAACAAAGACTTGGTGATGTCCTTGATGTCTGATTTTAAAGATGGTAGCTCGTATTTTAACATCCATTCCATACATTGGAGTGAAATTGTGTTCAACTTTAACACGAAAAGAATTAAAATTAACTTATTAACTCTTAGTTTTAGTAAATTTCTTTGTATTTACCTTGACATGTGGTGTGTTGATACAATTCTTTAAAATACTAACAAACGGATCCATATATCCTGAATAATCACCATCTTTGAGTTTATCTCGCTTGAGCAATATATTGCACAATTTCAACCCGAACTCCACCAATAAATGTGCGTTTGCTGTTTGGGAGTTTTTAACTTTGCATACTCTCACCCCCGACTTGCCAACAGGTGCTTTTGGTATAATATAACAATCAGGCTTCTGCCTCGCCAATTTTTCCGATTCTTTCGCTGTCAATTCTGGTTTCTCTTGAAATAATAAATCCGGAATACTCTGCGATGCTGTACCATACGCAAACTTCAGTATTATTTCCACATCTAAGAATTGATTATCCACTAATCCAAGCGCAATTTGTTTCAAGCACTCTTCAGCTTTGTTTACAACCTTAAACGAATGAGACGTGCCTAAAATCTTTTTAATCGGCAGTAACATATCCATGATACATTTTTCCGTAATAAACTGCGCTAGAATCTGAAGTGTGTCGTAACTTTTCGGAGACGACGCCTCCACAGTCTTGCTGGTAATCTTTCCAACCTCTCGTTCATCTGCTAACGCTCCAAACAAATCCTGCATGCAGAAATCTATCACAGTCAATAGGACAGCATCAATATGTCCGGGTTCGTAATGTGTTTTCAATGTGTTTAAAATTGCATGTACAGTAAATACCAGAACATGCATTTGAAAGCCTTTGTATTGTAAACCAGCCATTTCGCCAAGGATAATTCCTAAATAATCTGGTCCTAGTGTCAGGCAGATTTTCTGTAGGGTTTCGCGTGCTGTGCGTCGCACGCTTTCTAGTTTCGTCCGTAGGAACGTGCATATCTTCATGATCACGCCTGGCAAGTTGCGGTCCAGAAGGTATTTCGGTAAACGCTGGAGAAGTTTCACCACAGCGAGCGTGATGGGAATGCGGACGAGGTCCTCATCTTCGCGCTCTTCACGCGTGGCGCGTTTGTGGTTGAGTTTATGGGTGTTCTCGTGTGTGGTTTTCATCGCTAGGGCACGATTGAGTTGTGGTAACAGGGCACACTGTAATTATACATTCCAGAATTAATTTCAGTAAGTAATTTTGTGAATTCAACTTACCTTGATGATTTTATGACGCGTTTCGCTGCTGATTTGCACATAACTGTGATTTTGTCATAAGGTTTGACTTTTCGGGAGTTTCTTCTTCTTCATCTTCTAAATCATCTTCTTTTTCTTCAATCTCGTCTTTATCTTCATCATTTTCATCATCGTCATCATCATCTTCTTCAGTATTCACAGGTTTAACTTGAATTTCTTCAACTGGTTCTTTCAAATCTTCGATATCATCATCAAGACCTTTTCTCAAATCGAAGTGATAAGCATCCAAAATACACACAACAATTTTCACCAGTTGTTTTTGATTTGGTACGTCGTGCATCAATTTACTTAGATATAGCTTCAATAATGCTTCAAAATGATGCCATGGCATTAATTTCGCGCAAGTTGCAATCACATCACAAGCGCTATCTATCAATGTATGTTTACTAGTGAACTGATCATTACACAAATAATGTGTGGCCAACGGTAATAAATACTGTGTTAGTGTTCTGATATTAGGAGCAAATTCTTCTTTGCTAAACACTTCTTTCACCTTCAACAAAGCACGTCCCTGCCTATGTAGTTGGAGATGCACCAAGTTCTCAAAGAAGTCTACTTCAGGATCTGCTTTATTCGTCAACTTGTTTAAATCTTTGAGTACAACATGTGTATCAGCACATTCTCTAGCTAAATGCCCCAGTAAGGTAATACAATCGTTACGAATAGCGGTTTTACATCCACTTTTGATCATCGGAAGTAAAGTCTGGTCAAGAATATAGTCTTTATGTTGTTGATTTTGATAATGATTTAATACCAACGCCGGTGTGATTGTTTTCAAACAATCAACTGCACATTCCCGCAGAGACAAATCTTTTTCTACTGATAACGTATAGAAAGAATTGTAAATTAAAAGAATGGATAACTCCAAAGTGAGTTTGTTTTCTTTAAAGAGTGTCTCGATTTTTCTAAACGCTGATATCCTGCGGTCAAAGTCGGGTTGATCTATCCACCTTGCATTGCAAGCGTTTAATTCAGTCATTAATTCGGTAATCAGTGAATATTCCGAGTTATCAACCGAAATGTCAGTTAAAATCTCACAGAGTATCTTCCTGCATGACATTTCTTTCACATATCCAAACAGAGGAGATAAATGTTTCAAATGCTTCTTGGGATCTTTAACGTTATGTAATAGATTCTTAATTGTAGTTAGGAGTTGTGTGAGTTCTTCTTCCTTGGCACCCAGACGAGTTTTCTTTGAAACAATCGGTATTATTAAGTCTAAAGTAGAATCACTTATATCCGCCTCCCAAACTAATTCAGAAATCCTTGATAGGATAATCAAATCACGTTTGGTGATAGTTTTCTTCTTCTTTATAAGTTTTTCTTTCATTTTAAGAAGAATGTGTGGTACATGCGGTAATAAAATGCAACTTCCATAGTTTAGATTGTTTTCGGGTACTTTCAATCGTTGTAAAATACTTGCTTCAATCGGAAGGACATTTTCAACTGGTATCATCATTTCACCATCGTCTAGAGTCAATCTGAGCATGTTTTCTATCATTTCCATTATAAAGTTATTCACTGATAGATGTACTTTCGGATTCATTAGTAATTTTATCAA